AGAATGAATGTCTTCTGCCAGGGGATATGTTAGTGACCTCATTCGCAGACATGTCTCTGGGTTGTCATTGCAGGTGAGGTATTTCATTTCCAATTTTAAATTCCCTGCACAAGGAAAACTTGATGTCAATTAGGGTTAAAAATAAAACTGCCAATATTATAATGCCATTATACAAATCTATGGTGTGACCACCTTTGGAATACCATGTACAGTTCTGATTCCTTCATCTCAAAAAGGATATTGTAGAGCCAGGAAAGGTGCTCTAAAGGCCAACCAAAATAATCAAGGGACTGGAGCAACTCCCTTTTGATGAAAGGTTACCCCTCTCGGGAATGAAAAAAGCCAAGTAAGGAGGGAGACATGATAGAGCTGCATTAAAATTATGCATGAGTGGGAGGAGAGACAGAGACATTTTATCCATCTCTCATTATACTACAGCCATGGGCCATCTAATGAAGCTGAATTGAAGCAAAATTCAGGAAACACAAAAGGAAATACTTATTTATACAGTGTATAGGTAACCTGTAGAATCTGCTTCTACTAGATGTGGTGATGGCCACCAGATTCGGCAGCTTCAAAAGGCGGTTAGACAAATTCATGGAAGACAGAGCTATCAATGACTAATAGCCACAATGGCTGTGTCCTACTTCCAGTGTACTGGAGGCAGTATGCTTCCAAATAACAGTCACTAGGGTTCACAAGCAGGAGAGCGGTACTGTGCTCATACCTTCCTTGCAGGCTTCCCATAGTCCTTTGGTCAACTGCTGTGTGAATAGGATGCTGGACTAGATATGGTTTTGGTCTGATCCAGCAAGGGCCATCTTATGTTCTTACAATGACTACTCCCCTAAAACAAAAGGCGTTCCACTTAATAGGGAGCAAAAGAGCCCGCCACAGCTAACAAGGAGCAGACATTGCAACCAATCAAAAAACCTTTCGCCATGTAAGCACACAACGCACTCAGTACCTGCAATGTGCAACCCCAGCACCTACTCCTCAAAATAAAAGTCTGTATGGTGAAGTAACGAGTTTCTGTATTGAAGTCCTTGGTCCTTCCCTTGTAATAAGAAGCCGCTCTGTGACAATCAGGACAAATGCAGACCCAGTTTGCCATTTAAAAGAAGGACTGTCAATAACACTCCACAGCTGTCACTTTTATTACCCGTCTCCCTCCCCCACCCCTCTCTCAATGCATTATTGCACTGGTAACCATGGCAAGAGGCCAAATTGCTTCCCCTCCAAAGTGTACGGCTACACGAGAAAAGAAAAAGCACCCACCGTGTATGATACCTTTCACTGTGCTTAGACTTGTTTATGTTGCTGGGGCACACACAGATTCTCTTGGCCATTTTGCACAGCACCTCCTTTTACAGAAAGCAAATGCTCTCCAGGTCTATATATCAAAGTTATGGCATTCCGTTTTTCAGCGAAATAAATAAATAAACCTGTAAATAAGGTCAACAGGATGGGGATGTTCCGGGTGACAGAACCCTTAATGGTTTTTGAGGAACAGCTTGTTTCTCTCTTCAAAAAAACTCACCTCAATTTACGTTGAGCCTGTGCCTCTTAAACACATTTTGCCTAAGCACAGGGAAGGCACAAATCCAGCCATTTTAATGGCCTTAGTTAAACACCACAAGGCCACCATAAGCAGCTCAATGTCAGCATAGCTACCCAGTTATAAAAATGAAGTCTGTGGGTGATCGTGGTGAGGTATAGTACAAAGTTTGCTCTTTTTAAAAATAGAATATTAAGCCCAATGAAATATATTTCATGAACAATAAGGAACATTCCAAATTCTAGGCATTCATAAATTTCTTTAATCGATGTCATTTATTTTGTATAAAATTAGAGTTGAAGATAAACAACTTTCATTATTACAGCCGTATAGGATTCCCCTGGGTTTGTCCGGCTTCATGGAGACAGAGTGAACCCTCTGTTTTTACAGCTAAAAGATTTACAGTTCTATTATTCTGCCTTTCTATATGTCAGGTGCAAAACAAAGCTCATCACAGAGAAAATGATTGTCAGAGGCTGGAAGTCTCTCCAGGTCCTGAGACTGAAAACCATGGCCGCCTGACTCCTGTGAGGTGACTTGTGAAAAACAGAGCAGTAAGCAGAACCTAATACATGCTAGACAACTGTCCTGATTCACAGATAATTCACCACAATAATGGAAGAGATAGCTATGGGGGGTTATAGACAAAGATAAGGAGAGCTGAAGAAGCAAAACTGAGGTGAATACAAACATAAAGGGGAGGGCAGGAAGAAGAATTTGAATGGAGAGCATTAAAAAGCTAAATTATCTCAAATTCTGCAGCTACAGAATTCAATTTTGTGACAAGAATAAAACCATGGAAGGTTCACGAATATACAGTTAGACTGAGTCAAATTGTTGGTCCATTTAGTGCTGTGCTGCATACAGTGAGGAGCAGTAATTCTCAAAGGTCTCAGCTAGGGAAGCTTCACCTGGTGGCACTGGATTGGAACTTCTGCACACAAATCATGTGCTCTATGACCTGGGAACACTCCCCATTCTATGTTGTGTCAGCTTGCTTATTTCCCAGCCTTTGTGCACTCGAATGAACCTGGCAACAGCACTCCAAACCAAAAATGGTGTTAGGTTCTTACGCTTTGGAAAAGTCAATGTGCAGGAATTTGAGAAGCAGTGGTGCTTGCATTGGGAGAGAGGTGAGCAGCCAGCTGACATCTATAAATAATTGTAATCCGCTTTTACACAGAAGTGTGTGGTTTGGGAAGGACAGCTTTGAACCACACGCCATGTTAACAATAAAAACAGCACGTTGTCAGCCAGCCTCTTTAGATGGCTCTTGGCTTTCCTTTCTTCCAGATGGATTCACAACCCTCCTCCTTTTAAATCGCCACATAAATTTATCTCTTCTGTTTGCAACTCCCAAGTAAAACACTGACAATTCCCTTTGTTCTTCTAGTCGGCCTTATGTTCTCAGAGATCACTCTGATAAGACACCCACCAGATGAGATCTTGGAAGAAGATCAAGGCAATCACTTTGTCATTTCAACAGCACCCACGTTGCTCCTAAAAGAACCTTTTCCACTTAAGAGATTCTCACATGCCCAGCCAATGCAGCATCCTCCGTATCTTGTGGGACCACAAATGCCATCAGACCCAGTCAGTATGGCGAATGCACAGGGATGATGGGATTTGCAGATAACCCAGCAACATCTGGCACGGGAAGCACTGTGTTGTCTATCCCTGGCTGAATAGGTCAATGGCCATCCCAAGAAGCAGAGGTGTTGCTAGGTTCTTAAGACACTTAATGCATAGGCTTATGTCTCAAATTTGCACGTGCCAATTTATGTCTGTGAGGAAACTGAGGTGGTGGGTGGGCTCCCACTGACACACTGCATTTTGCAGCATGCCCAGCATATGTGTAAACAAAGTTTTTGAAAGTATTTTTAAAGCAAGGAAGGGGGAAGAGATCTGGGCTCAAGGTCCTTGGGCTGCTCCTTAATAACATCCATGGACAGGGGCATCATAGGGGGGCAGGAGACTGAGGGCTCCCCCAAAATGTTCAGTTGCGGGGGCAAGCCATTGCCCTTGCCCCTGAAGGAAGGGTTTGCAGTGGGTGCAACATTCTGTTCAATATTAGATGCAGAAAGTCTATTATGTGAAATAAGATGTTGTCCATTTATGCTTTGCCTTTTGCACTGGACCACTAATAAACATTACCACTGGTTATTCTGGCACAGATTAGAAGCAGATATGCAGGCATTTCTTGATGTGCTTCTGAATGAAAAGCATCCATTGCAGAGTCTGAATCGGGTGCAGCTTTCCCCACCATTTTATAATACATATGTACCTCCATTGTCTGCCTCAAACCACTAGTCTGGTGCATGGATATAGCAAGATTGGTGTCAAGTTTGTAAAGAACATCAGAGCTGTACAGATGAGGAATGATAAGGGATGCTTCATTCTGAAAATGGCCTGATTAATCCATCCCCTCTTTAAATCATTCTGTGAAGCAAGTAAAGTGAAAATGAACCCCTAAAAATGTCTAATATTTAACTGAGACAGAATTCTGAAATGCACTCCGTCTACATCTCAGTACATAGGGCGGGGAATCCCACTTCTGTTGTACAGCTTGGACCGCTGAAGACAGAAGAGAGAATGTTTTTCACGATCATATCTCCATCCTAGACAGCAGCTCACATGCTATATATTACAAACTAGTAATGTATCCCTTAGCCTTTTCAATTAAAACAGCAAAAGTGTGCCTATTACTCTTTTAACACTGCTCTCTGAAGTCACACATGATGAGTTTAAATCAGCTTTTAGACTGAAATATTATAAGGAGCCAAATGGTCTAGAGATTCTGCCCCCATCTGCCATGGCCATCTTCTCAAAAAACCTCACCAGAAAAGTGATATACTTTTAAAATTAAAAGTAAACTCCTCAAAACCAGCAGGATCTCTGCTTAGCAAGCAACAAAACAGAAACTGCTAAACTGAGCATTTATTCTGAGGTTGGGGGGGGGGCTATAGCTGGATACATGGACGCAACACCAAAATCCACCACACTGCTACTTGCCTTCTGTTGGGTTTCATTTTCACGGCAGCACCCCAGAAACTCTGTGCCTGGTCGTCCTCCCCTAGATCAGCCTTTGCTATGCATTGAATTGTTATGTTGCAAGTGTAGGGTCCCTAAACAGTTCATTATAGGTGATGGGCAGAACTGGCCACTGGATCCTAAGTTGCTCCATTCCCCTGAGAGGAGGTTGATCTGGGCTAGAGTTTGCATTGCTAATTCCCCACCTTGCTTTCAATTATTATTATTTGTATTTATATACTGCTTCATGCCAAAAATAAGCTTCTAAGCCAAATGCAAGTATATAAACTAATTTCACAAACATTAAAATCTAAACATCTTTGATTAAACATGCAATAAATCTCTGAAATAGATTTTCATAGCAAATAAAAAGTGTAGATATCTTCTGGGCTGAAGCAGCTCCTCACAAATGTGATGTATAGCTCTGTTGGTAGCGCATGAGACTCTTAATCTCAGGATAGTGAGTTCCAACCTCATACTGGGTGAAAGATTCCTGCAATGCAGAGGGTTGGACTAGATAAGCCTTGTGTTCCCTTCCAACTCTACAATTCTCTGATTCTACACCTTTCATCCTGTCCGGCACATAATATATGATGTGCCAGAAGGGATAGGGCTTGGCTGCACTCTCTCTTCATCAAATATCCTTTCTAGCATTACAATAGCAGCTTTGCATAGTTAATAAACCAAGAGAAAGAGAAATCACGAGGAAACGTAAGTACAGATTTAAGATCTGCCTGAGTGAAGAGAGCTGCTGTCATTTCTTCTATTTCCTGATCATGACTGCTTTAGGCAGGATTGGCAATTTCATCAATGACAGTCTAACTAATTTGTTAGTTCTCTGATCTTGATCCTTCTTGAAGTGTGGACAGCAGTGGAAATGGATTTTGTCACTGCACTGGGTTTGAAGACAGAATGGGACCAACATGTCTTTTTCCTTTATTTTCTGCATCTGTTGGGAGGGATTGGGACAGCAGCTAGGCTCAACATGCATCAGCAGTCAGCATGGTCAGGCATGAAGTGGTCCATGGGTGACATGGGCCTCCTCCAATCAATGATACCTGTCTCTTGTATGTGAAAAGTGTCGTTGTGGCTACATAAAGATAGCTAAAGGGCAACTACTCATAGATTTGAGACTACAAGCAGTATGAATGGTAAAATTATTCCATACAATAGGATGATGGGGAGAAATACAAAAAAAGCCCATTAAGAATACATCTTTTCATTGTTAAAAAAAATGCAAACAACCAGTACCATTGCCAATTCTGCAAAAGTTGCTTATGAATCTTATGGTAATACCTTAAGAGTACAAAGTTTGCAACTGATTCAGGTACATGCGACTTTGTATCCATGAAGAGGAAGGAATTATAACCAGAAATATAAGTATTATTCCTGTGCAGCTTTTAGCAATATATCACACACACATTACAATGATGAAAGAAACCATCGGAAACTGATCTGCAATGCAAAACTTATGTTTTAAATACCAGATTTTTACATTCTGAAAAGGGTTGCATCTTCTAACCAACAGATGAACTAATCCGTGGATTTCTTTGAGAGGCATCCCTGGAAAACGTGTCTAAAGGGTGGTATTTATATCACAGGCTATCCCATTTGCAGAGAAGAAAAGGATTACCTTTTAAGTGTAAAGATCAAAAGCTATTTTTGCAGGTAATAAGATCTCTCTCAGATGGATTTCAGTAATAGAAACTGGCTCATCTAGAGCAAAGTAATAAAAATGTAAGCAAAGTGTAATAAAAGAAAAATGGAAAGTAACTCACTCACCCTGAAATGCACCACACAGCATTCCACAAAACAATGTTTACCAGAACTAATGCGGTACTTAACACATAATGGAAATTCTGTAATATACTGGTTTTCTGAGGTTTGAAACAATTTGGTTGTGGTAACACTATCATAAACAAACTATTTCAAGTAAACGGTGATAGCAGTCAGAGTGAAGGATCAATGAGTGGACCTTTACCCAATGGATGCATTCAGACGAAACACTAAACCACAAGCCTCACCTTCTCTGGCACAGTTGTGAGGACTAACCACAGGTCATTACATTGTCCAGACCCTTCAAACTGTGGTTAAACTTAACTATGCTTTGCTTGAAATCACAACTTTGAACCATAGTTTAAGAAACTGACTTATTTTCACATAGTTCAGATTAGCCACAGTTTAGGGTTTGAACGTAATGCTAAACTACAGCTAGTCAGATCAGAAGCAAAAGCTTCTGATCTCCTCCTCAGCTTGGCTGAAGAAGAGAGGAAACAGGAGAGATAATCCATGAGACTCACAGTTGCTCGTTCTAATTCTCACTATGCTAAGCTAGGACTTAGTGCAAGGGTCACAAACCTGAGGCCCACGGGTCCCAGTGTGCCTGCCAGTACATAATATGGCAGCCATGAAAGGTCTTAGCAAATAACTGCTCAGAAAACCACAGTGCACGAGATTAGGGATGAGCATGTCTACACCATTTTGTATTTCTTTCTCTTTTTCTGCTCTGTTATATGTGGCAGCCATTTTGTATTATGCCACACCCCTGCAGCTGCCATTTTGTGGCCTGCATTGATGATACTTCCTCAGAATTCCAAATGTGCTCACTACCCAAAAAGGTTTGTGATTCCTTTTTTAGTGTGTTATCCAAAGGTAGCTAAGATCCCTTTTTCAATACAAAGGTCACTTTATATTTTACAAAATAAACATGCACAGAGTTAAATGTGAGCCCACAATGTGAACAGTGGATTTCTCCAACAGAAGAAGAAAAAACACTTTAGGAACTATCAGGAAAGCCAATGAGTTATTTATTTATCGAGAGCTCCCAGCATGCAGTGTTTCTTTTGCAGTGCTGAATTGGTCTTCTTGTGTCTTAACCATTCCTATTCAAACTGTGTTTATTGCTGACTGGTTTCTTGAACTGCTGCCTACTTAATTGTTGCTTATCTGTCTGGCCCTTTCTTCCAGGAACACAGCAGTAAACAAACCAACAAAAGGTTATTTGGGTCACAGTTGTTGTAACCCTCCTGCATTTAAGGAGCACCTTTGAGCTAGCCTTCCAGAGTCTTGAAAAGCCTTGCAAAAAGAAAGACTTCAAAACAAATCAGTTTTTTAATAAGGTAGTCATGGGTGATTTGACTCGTGGAAAATGACGGCAAACAACATGTGGCCTTCCAGCAGCTGAATGGGAAGGCAGATGTGCCTCAACAATGGCTGAGTCAAGCTGCTGTTCTGTGAGAGAAATACATTGGCATCTACTGGGGGTGGGGGAGAGAAGGAGCCAGTTCCCCTCACCCCAATGAACTATATTCTCTGGATTCCCAACTTAATTTAAAAACAAAAAAACGCACAAACCTTTAGCACTTGTAAAACCCAATATAGGAGGCAAAATGTACAAATACTATTATATTCGTTGGTTTGTAAGAAACGAGCCTCTTCCCCTCTTTCAGTGCTTCTAGTCTATGAATTAAGACATATTAATTATTAGTATTCAGGAAAGTAGATATAGCCTGGACTCTGACTGCTAATTTTTAATTTTTCCTCTGTTCCCTGTTGAGATTCATTCATGGTATACAGTTGCATTTGTTGAACTATGCACACATTCTCGCCCTTTCTGCATCCGGTGCACCCCAATGTTGATTTGGAGAGCAGTGGAGACACAATGTTAGTCACAATCCATATTTATCTAGTCATTTCTTGTGAAACATTGCATTTTGCTGCATTTTGCTGCATTTCACCACAAACCAGCTCCAATATGAATTGGGTTGGGGGAGAATGACCTTGCTGCATTTTAAGCTGGCGACATGTACACAACCTTGATCGAAACCAAATTAAAATGTATCAGTCTGGAGAATTAGTTCAATGAGGTGTTTTGAAATCTCCACTTTCAGATAGCCCCAGGCCTAACCATCAGTAGTGCAACTTTGGGAGTAATATTAGGGGGAAATGAATGTTCAAGGCCTTAAGCCACAAATACTCTTCTGTGCCATTTATCAAGGATGCTAGCTTTAAAGCTTCCCTCGCAGCTTCCACTTTGCACTTTTTGTTAAGAGACCAAGTGAAAAGTGGAGCTGTGATGAGCCATGTGCTTCTCACAGCTGGGCTGGCAAGGGTGATCTATAGAATGCAAGGGGAAAACCTATAACTGATTTATGTAATATCACACCTGTGATGAGATCCATGGTGGTACCATTTCTCACACAGACCCCAACCAACCATTTTAAACTACTCTTATTTATTACCGTAGTAACAGGTTCATTCCACTGTAAATCTTCCAGAGAATTATAAAGTGATCCAATAATATAAGCCCAGAAGGTATTGCAGCAGCAGCAACTAGCACACAAAAAAAACCACCCAAACCCTTGGTTCATCCAGCTCTATGATGGGTAAAAAGACCTCTTTGTCTAGGCAACCAGTTAGAAAAAAATAAACACACACATGTATGCAAAACAAATTGAAATACTGTACTGTAAACCTTGGTGTCCTGTAGAGGAGGGAGGGAGGGGGAGGGAGGGAGAGAGAGAGAGAGAGAGAGGGAGAGAGAGAGAGACTTCCCTGTGTTTTGACTCTGATCTAACTTTTCTTTTTGAATTTCTCCTATGAGTGGTCATGAGGCTGCTGGATTTGGTTTCATATGGAACAAGATCATAATCAAATTTTGCATAATTGTTCCTGAGATCTAGAAGCAGTTTTTCTCTTTGTTTGGATGCCTATTTTGAATGAAGATGATGCAAAACTGCACTGATTTTAACAAAATTTGGAAGGAAACTAACAAATTACATTATTCATTTATAAATCTAAGTTTTTATTGGCTACTTGGAATTCCAAAGTAACTCCAGGTACAAGGCTGCGTGTAATATAGGATTTCATATCTGCCCTTCACCATAAAAGTCCCATGCTGGATAACAACAATCCAATGAAACCGTTACAATTAGCAGAACTCTTGAGCTTACTGGAAGCCACCGCTGCTAGTTCTCATTGTTTCTCCAGTGGTGGCAGCAGGAATGGGGCACCTGTGGGGAATGCCACCCCATGGGATGCAGCTGCCTTGGGTTATTGCCTATTTTATCTGTATTTCAATATTATCTTCATCTTAATATATAGATATGTATATACAGTGATACCTCGGATTACAAACACTTTGGGTTACGTGTTTTCAGGTTGCAGACAGTGGGAAATCCGGAAGTACCAGAAAGGGTTACTTCCGGGTTTCACCACTCATGCATGCGCAGAAGCACTAAATCACACTTTGCACATGCGCAGAAGTGCCAAATCACGGCAGATGCAGCGCTGCAGGTTACGAACACTGTGGGTTGCGGATGTGCCTCCGTCAAGGATTATGTCCGCAACCCAAGGTTGAACTGTATGTATATTTCCCCATTTCCATTCACGAGGTCATTCTAGACACAGCCAAATTTTTACATTAGAACCTTGTCTTTCTAAATAATCATTCAAGGCACTTCCATTCCTTATTGACTGTATTCATTG